TCAGAGGTTTAGTCCGTTATCATGGCGGAAGCATGGCAGTCTGCAGATAAACATAGTGCTGGAGGAGGAGCTAAGAGTTCTATATCCCAATTGGCAGGCAGCAGGAAGTAAATTTCACACTAGGCTTGTTTTGAACATTTGAGACCTCAAAACCCACCTCTTAGTGATGTACTTCTTCCAGAAAAGGCACTACTCCAACAAGGCCACACCTCCTACTAGTGCCATTCCCTATAAGCCTGTGGGGGCCATTTTTCTTCAAAACACCACACTGCCACATGGCATGTATTTAATGTCAAATGCTGACGTTAACCCATAGTCTCTGTAATTGTACTTGCTTTTTTTCCAGAATAAAATTTGTATTCTGTGACTAGACATTCATCTATTATAAATATTACTGCCTATGGTAGCAGCTAGAATAAAAACTTTTTGTATTCATAATCGCTGTCACAAACACCTTACGACCAAACAAATCATTTGTGTCTCTTGGAGTTTACACACACACACACACAAAACCAGAAATGTAAAACCACAGAAATCCAACATAGATTGACATTAGAAACTATTACCTTATTTAGACCACTGTTCTTGTTCTGTTATTTCTGCTATTGTTTCAGACGCTTTTGGTATTGATGTATTCTATAAGCTTAGTGACCTGGCCTTTCACTGTGAGCCAGTCTTCTCCTATAAGCCATCTTGGGCTCCTTTTTGTTAAAGCTCCTATAAGCCATCTTGGGCTCCTTTTTGTTAAAGGTTAATAACCAGAATAATGAAGCAGTTGGTTATTTATGCAGTTATGATTGGCAAAAGTTATTAGAATAGGAATCTGCCCAGAAGCAATGATTAGGTTATGAAAATGTTAAGGAATATTGAAACTAGTTACAATTTTTGACATTTAAGAAATATTATTCCTTTTCTTAATCATGATGCTCTTGTGTAGAAGTATATGTATAGAGTAATCCCATTGGACAGTAATTCTTATGCCAACAGTATACCTAAATAAGTGCTGAGAGGGAGATTCAGAAATGATCTGAGGGAAAGGAAGAAAATTAAGAAGGGAGAACATTAAGAAGCTGGGAGGTGCCTGACCTATGAAGTTGGACCTTTCTGACTTAGTGCTTTTACATTGAGCATTCTTCATATGCTAGGAGCTGTAGGGGGGGAAAAGGAGCACAGCAGAAAATTCCTGGTAACAGTATTAGTGATGTGATTATTAATATGCAAAACAAGACAAAAATTCAAAATATAATTCCTTCATGCTTAATAGAGTTAGGAACTCAATGTATAAAATAGTCAATAATCATTAAGATAATGTTTACATAAAAATCTGACATTTTCAGGTATATAAGTAAATAACATTTTCCCGAGTAACAACACTGCCATCATCTCACTCCAAAACCTTGTCCCAAACCTGCACCCATTTCCCCAGTTTTTCTCCTCCAGTCTTAACAACACCAATCTACTTCCCTGTCTGACTTGCTTGTAGTCTTGACTTCTCATAAAAATAAATGCTTATGATATCTACTCTTGTGTAAGTACTCTTTTTCTTGACATAATATTTTCAAGGTTTGTAGCATGTAACAATTCCTCATTTATTTATGATCAAAAGATGTTCTATTTTATAGATACTGCTCTGTTGATAAATTGATGGACGTTAAGGTTCTTGTTGCTTCTAAACTACTATAAGCAGTGCTTCTCTGAAGATGCCATGTATGAGTTTTTGTTTAGGCTTTTTAAATTTCTTTCTTAGATAATGAGATATATTGGATTATGTAGCAAATTCACACTTAAAAATACTACGAATTTTTTTCCAAAGTAGAAGTACATTTACGTGCCTGTTAGGTAAACTGGAAAGTTCCACTTTAGCATATCCTTGTTAGACTTGCCTTCATGAGTCTTTGATTAAAGCTGTCCTACTGGATATAAAGTCCTTTCTCCTAGAGTATTTAATTTACCTTTCTCCCCGATTTCCAGTTGTGGTTAGCATATTTTACTTCTTGGCCATCTATGTATTTCCTTTTCCAGATTGCCTCAGCCTTTGACAGTTTTTAAAATTAGATTAATATTATTTATGTTTAGTTATAGGAGCTGTTTATATTTTCTGAATATTAATTCTTGTCCATATATATGATATCGACATATTTCATTTTGAGGCATTTGTTTTTGCGGTTTCTTAATTCAAGGTCACAAAGAAATACTTGTATGATTTCCTCTGAGATTGTTAGTTTTTTTTTTCTTTTATTGATTTTTCTCTGCTCCCCTCCTTGCCTTTCCCCTCCACTTCAACCTTCTCCCAAGGTCCCCATGCTCCCAATTTATTCAGGAGATCTTGTCTTTTTCTAGTTCCCATGTAGATTAGATCTATGTATGTCTCTCTTAGGGTTCTCATTGTAGTCTAAGTTCTCTGGGATTGTGATTTGTGGGCTGATTTTCTTTGCTTTATGTTTAAAAACCACTTATGAGTGGGTACATGTGATAATTGTCTTTCTGGATCTGGGTTACCTCATTCAAAATAATGTTTTCTAGCTCCATCCATTTGTAGTTATTTTTTTCCGCTGTATAGTACTCAATTGTGTAAATATACCACATTTTCCTTATCCAATCTTTGTCAAGGGGCGTTTAGGTTGTTTTCAGGTTCTGGCTATGACAAAAAATGCTGCCATGAGCATAGGTAAGCACATGTGGCATGATTGAGCATCCTTTGGGTGTATACCCAAAACTGGTATTACTGCGTCTTGAGGCAGGTTGTTTCCTAAATTTCAGAGAAGTCGTCACACTGATATCTAAAGGGGCTGTACCAGCTTGCATTCCCACCAGCAATGCCGAAGTGTTCCCTTTTCCCCACAAACTCTCCTGCATAAGTTGTTATCAGTGTTTTTGATCTTGGCCATTCTTACAGGTGTAAGATGGAATCTCAGAGTTGTTTTGATTTGCATTTCTCTGATGACTAAGGATGTTGAGCATTTCTTTAAGTGTCTTTCAGCCATTTTAGATTCCTCTGCTGCGAGTTCTCTGTTTAGGTCTGTACTCCATTTTTTTTTATTGAATTATGTGTTCTTTTGATGACCATTTTTTGAGTTCCTTGTATATTTTGAAGATCAGACCTCTGTCTGATGTGGGGTCAGTGAAGATCTTTTCCCATTCTGTAGGCTGGCATTTTATCTTGTTGACAATGTCCTTTACTTTACAGAAGCTTTTCAGTTTCAGGAGGTCCCATTTATTGATTGTTTCTCTCAGTGTCTTTGCTACTGGGGTTATTTAGGAAGTGGTCTCCTGTGCCAATGTGTTCAAGTGTACTTCCCACTTTCTCTTCTATAAAGTTCAGTGTGGTTGGCTTTATGTTGAGATCTTTGATTCATTTGGACTTGAGTTTTGTGCATGGTGATAGATATGGATCTATTTTCATTATTCCACATGTTGGTGTCTAGTTATGCCAGCACCATTTGTTAAATATGCTTTCTTTTTTCAATTTGATATTTTTTGCTTTTTTGTCAAAAATCAGGTATTGAAAGATGTGTGGATTGATATCTAGGTCTTCAATTCGATTCCATTGGTCCTCCTGTCTCTTTTTATACCAATACCAGGCTGTTTTCAGTACTGTAGCTCTGTAGTAGAATTTGAAGTCAGGAATTGTGATACCTCCAGAAGTTCTTTTATTGCACAGGATTGTTTTGGCTATCCTGGGTTTTTTGCTTTTTCATATGAAGTTGAGTACCATTCTTTCAAGGTCTGTGAAAAATTTTGCTGGGATTTTGGTGGGCATTTGCTGTGGAGTTCTTTGTTTCAAGTCTATTCTGTCTCAGGTTGCTGGCTCAGGCCTGGTTTGCCAATGTCTCTGGACTGGATTCACTTCTGCTCCCATGGAGCTAGCTTTCTCGGGACCACTCTGACCTAGGTAGCTGGTTCAGTCCCACTCCTGTGGAATTGGTTGCTGCAGGCCTACTTTGGCCTAGGTTACTGGCTTTGACGTGTTACTGTAAATCCTGGTCTGGATCCACTCCTTCCGAGGTCCCTGGCTTGGAATTGGTCCTGCAAAGGTCTCTGGCTCTGTTCTACTCCCTCAGAGTTCCCAGGCTCGGGTGTGCCCAGACCTGCAGAGGACCTGGCTCAGGCCTACTCCCTCTGAGGTCCCAGATTCACACCTGGACCGTCAGAGATCTCTGGTTTTTGCCTACTCCCTTGAAGGTCCCAGAGTCATGCCCAGACCAGCAGAGGTCCTAGCTCAGGCCTAGTTCCTAGGAGGTCCTAGACTCATGCCAGACCAACAGGGTTCCTGGCTCAGATTTACTCCCTTAAAGGTCCCAGAATCACATCTGGTCCCTCAATGGTCTCTGGCTCTGGCTCACTAGCTCAACAGTTCCTTCCCCTGTACCTGTTCCTGTGGAGTTCACTTCCTAGGTCTGAGATTGTTATAGTTTTAACTCTTAAATTTAAATCATTGGTTTCTTATCTTTTTCCTTTCCTTTCCTTCTCTTCCCTTTTCTTACCTTACATTTCCTTTCTCCTCTTTTTTTCCTTTCCCCTTTCTTTCTTTTAATGTCTGACTCTTTTGCCAAGTCCATCCTTGGGCACATGGGATTGCAGTCAGTCTATGCTCTGCTTCATTTTGCTTCTTTACATAATGTGATAGGCGTTCCTTTGCATAGGTCTACAAAGAACTAAGAGAAATGTCTCTTCACTGAGATGGCCAGTGCTACTTTCTTTTTATTGTTGTTTGGTTTTGTTTTTTTGGAGACAGGATTTCTCTGTGTAACTTTGGAGAACTCACAAAGATCCACTGCCTCTACCTCCTGAGTGCTGGGATTAAAGACATGCATCACCACTGCCTGGCTTCAGTGCTACTTTATTTACTAAAATTATTGCTTTATGACGGGACACATATACTGCTTTTATCTGATGACCCCATACTCACTGCCTCTGACCAAATGTTGTATTTCTATTTTTGTCTTCTTAATTGCAATCTGTACACGAACCAGTTTTTTCTCCTTAATTAGCACTCTCACCTCTTCAGCTACAGTATAGAGAATGCCAAGAACTTCTAAGTCTCTACCAGAAGTACCTATCAGAGCAGCAAGAGAAGCTCACCATGTCGCTCTCAGAACTTGGTGCTGCTAGAGCACAGGAGCAGCAGGTAAGTGACCTCTTCTGACCCAGAAGGTTTGTTTTCCTTTTATGTTGGAAGTCACATTATATGCATGCTGTTTTAAAATATACAAATATCTCATGGCTTCCCTGACTGTGGCCCTCTTCTTTCCTTTTCCTCTCTTGTTGTTTTAAGAGTCTAGTGATCAGAAACAGAAACTTGAAGCAGGCGGGGGTTACTGGAGAGACAATTGATGGGATAAGAAAATGCATTGATGGTTACTTAATAAAGAGCAGTGGATATTTGGTGTTCTTTTGGAAAACATTAATGTCCCTTTTCTGTTTTTAGTTCTTAGAATAAAAAGCTATTTGGTGGCTTCTGTATGTTTGCATGTATTAAATATTTAAATATATGAGTATTTATAAGTAACCACATAACATCAACTGATAAATATTTAGAACTGTATAAGCGTGTATATGTTAATTTGTACATTTAAATATACAAGTGTTTATAAGTAACTATATGACGTTAAGTGATGAATATTCAGAGAACCTTGCCCTTTATGATGTAAAATCAGATACTAAAGCCACATTTTCAGCCTTCTAACACTGATATTTGATGTCTTTCTTCTGTTCTTATGAGTTTAAGTCTTCAAATAGCAAAAAATAATCTTTATATATTAAGATAAATATAATTGTGTCATATAAAATTAATATCATGAAAATGCAGGTAATGTGTTAACTGCCATTTCCCAAGTAGTATCAAAAGCTCAAAGGTCAAACATAAGGATTTCTTGCAAACTTTCTTAAGAACATTGCTGCTCAGACAGGAGACATCTGTCCTATATGGGTGAAGAATTTTAGCTAATGGAAACTACAATTTGCATATATGGGAAAGTGAAAACAGAAATCCCAGCAATATTAATGCCATGTTATGTGGTCTAGCTGAGTTGTTTAACATAGACCATTTTTACTCTGTTTTCAGAAAGCTAGATTTTACAGTGAGCACAGGAGGAATGTGGCAGCTTATGCTATTTCTATGCATGTCTTCACTGTCTAAAAGGAGGTTGACAGCCCTGTAGGTGCCTTTAGGCCAGAGTTCTTGTAAAGGTCAGTTTCAGGTTCCTCATCACATTCCTGTTCATGCCCTTGGCATAACCTAGTTGAGTGAGACAGCACAAAACAAAGGCAAATTATTTAAGAAGGAACTGCAACAGGGAGACAGGAGAGTCTTCATTTAACAGTATTAGTAGAGTCTTATAATCTTAGGAGCATAGACTATGAGCCAAGACATGATCACTAAAGTAAAAGAAAAGAAGAGAAAGAAAACCAACAGGAGGGAGGAAAAGAAAAGTTGATAGTTGGTGGAGAGACTCTAAGAATACCTAGAATAGACCCAACCTGAAACTGTGGACAAACAAAACTTCCTTAGTTGTTGTTGGTTTTTATGTAAGCTAAGTATGAATAATCATTGTTAAACTGCCACACTTAATCTAAACCTTGGGTGGTATAACTAAAAGAGATATTAGAATGAAAATGTTGGTCAATTATATGAAGAGAATATGCTCTCTAAAGGAGGTACCTAGTCTTGGGGTGTGACATGGGGTAGATAGAACACTTGTGTAGCATGTATAAGGCTCTGTGTTCCATCCCCAACTCAGACAGAGACAAAGACATGTTATAAGGAGAACTACTTGTTTGTTCCTGACTGCTCAGCCTCTAAATAATCACACAGAAACTCTATCATTTAAAACACTGCTTGACCTATTAGCTCTAGCTTCTTATTGACTCTTACATATTATAACCCATGTCTATTAATCTGTATATTGCCCCGAGGCTGTGATTTACAGGGTAAAGTTCCAGCATCTGTCTCTGGCAGGGCAACATGACTTCTCCTTATTCCACCTTCCTTCTCCCAGCATTCAGTTTAGTCTTTCCCACCTAACTAAGTTCTGCCTTGCTATAGGTCCAGAGCAGTCCTTTATTAACCAATGGTATTCACATCATACAGAGGGAAATCCCGTGAGAGAGACAGAGACAGAGGAGAGAGTGGTATCTCTTGTTTTTTGCTTTATCTAGAGAACTTTTTGAACTATATATTTCATTTTAAATCATGTCTATGTATGTGTGTTTGTGTGGGTGTATGCACATATATGAGGTATCATGTCTCTGGAGCTGGAGTTACAGGTCCTTAGAAGCTATTCCACAAAGGTGTTGGGAACTGCACTCAGTCCTCTGCAAGAGCAGCAAGTGCTCCTGACTGCTGAGCCACCACTCCAGGTTAAACTATGTTTTCCTTGAGTACTTGATGATCAAGTTCTAAATGTTCTCATAAACAGTGAAAATGAAGCTGTGAATTAGAGGCAGCTTCGAGGCTCTGCTGTTTGACTTAGAAAGGGAAAATGTCTTTTTTTTTCTTTTTAAGGGAGAATAAAGGTCACTTCCTTTGTTGTTTAGTTTGTTCCTCTTGACAGGCTTCTCTAAGCTGACCACTGGGAAGCCCCCTCTTTGCTTTCCTCCTTTCTCATAGGAAGAACACCATACTGGACTGACTTCTTTTTGCCTCTCCTCATCATAAAGTATAGTGTACTCTTAATGTATTTACAGCTAGCCTGTGCCCATCTTTGTAGAGCACTGTTATATTATTGTAATTATTGTTTATCCTACCACTTCCTTTGCTCAGTGTTCTAAAGTCAGGCATACTGCTTGTTACATAGGTGGTGTTATGCTCTCAGAGTCTGGTATAAGGATCAGAGTGACCTCAAATAAATAAGCTAATGATCCACTTCAGGGTTCTAGAAAATTAAAAAGACAAACAAATACAGCAGATGTCAAGAAATAATAAATATTAAGGCAAAATAATGAGATAGAGAATACAATTACAATATATAGACTCAAAAAGCTGATAATTTGAAAGATAAAGATGGTTGACAAGCCTCTAGCCAAACTAACCAAAGGTTAGAAAATACCCAAAACAACAAATTAGAAATAAAATGGAAATTGTTACGGCAGACCCTAATAAATTCCAGAGGAACATTAGGGAGTACTTGGAAAGCTTATATTCCAATAAATTGGAAAATATAGACAAAATTAATCAATTTCTAGATATATGTAGCCTAATAAAATTAAATCAAGATTATATCAACCTTTTAATCCCATTACAAGCTATGTTTGGAGTGGTAATTAAAAATCTCTCCACAAAGAAAAGTGTAAGACAGATTCACTGCTGAGATCTACCAAACTTTTAAGAATGACCTGCTAACAATACTTCTCAAACTATTTCACAAAGCATAAAGGGGAGAAATGTTCTGCAACTCATTCTACAAAACTATTATTTCTGTGATACCAAAATATGCTGGTGATACAACCAAGACAGAAAAGTTTAGATCAATTCCCTTGATGAATACAGATGCAAAAATTCTGAATATCAAATTTAAGATTATCACAGCCAAGTTGGCTTCATCTTAGGGATACAGAGTTACTTCAACATACAAAGATCAGTACATTTAATATGTTCTATAGCTATACATCAGAACAAATATCACAGGATAATCTAGTTAGATGGAGAAAAAGCATTTGAAAAAGTTCAGTATGCTTTTATGATTAAAAGTCTGAGGAATCTAGGAATACAAGAACATATTGCAGTGTGGCAAATATTATATGCAGCTAGCATATAAGCCAAAATGATTATAGTAAGTGGAAAAAAACTGAAAACATTTTATCTTAAATATGGTAGTAGACAGGAGTGCTCACCCTTTCCTGGCACACTCAGACTCTTTCCTAAAACAACATAGAATGTTCTGAGTCTTTTCGAGAACATCCAGACAAGAGAAAGAGAAAAGAGACACACCTAAAAACTGGCAAAAATATCAGAAACACACACCGGAAAAGACTATTCAACTAATGGTGCTAGGGAAAATGAACCCATATTTTGCACACATGCACACACAGACTCATGGGGCAGGGGGTAAGGAGAAACACATCAAGATATAGACTGTTGCCCGCACTTTTCTGTGAATACCCAGACCTCGGAACAGGTGCGTGCTTTCCCGAACCAATCCCACAGGAATGGATTAATATCCTAAGGGTTGAAGCACACAGACATAAAGAGACCTGCTCATTCACCAAAGAGTAAATGGCCACTTTATTAAACTCAAGTCGGGTATATATACTAGTGGGCAAGGGGGCAAAAGGGCAAAGCCCCCTCCCATCAGGAGCAGTGGAAGAGGATGACAGGTGCCCAGCGCCCAAGGCCAGAATCAGCTGAGGGAGGCAGGCATGGCAGCTGGAACCTTGTTTACAGGTGAAATTACCGTAACAAAAGAGGGCCAACTTCTTTCTAAGCTAAACCCTCAGGCCGGTACAAATGCAGAAAAGCCAGGGAGCCAAAGGTCAAATGGCCCTACAAATCACCAAGAACAAAAGGGGGAAAGACCTTTGTACCTACAATAGACATAGGGGAGACTTTCTGTAAAGAACTCTAGGAACACAAGACATAACCCCGGGAATTGGGAAGTGGAATTTATGTAATTTAAAAGCTGCTTCTTCACTGCAAATGAAACTATCAATAAAGTAAAGAGATGACCCAAAGTATGAAAAAAATTTTTGCCCCCTATATTTCTGAGAAATGAGTACTATCTTCAATATCCTACAGAACTGTACAATTAAAGTATAGTCCCTAATAAAAGGACTTTGCTTTTTCTTTTATTCAACAACACACAAAAAAAGTGTCGCACAAATTCTAATTGTTAATAATAAAAACCTGGAGTCAGCAATTAGACGTGAAATTAAAGGATCAGAGAAGCAGGGCAGCCAGCCACTAGAGAGTTCTCCCGTCTACCGATGATTAGACCAAAGGGATGATCCTGCCTCTCTGAATCCTGAGCTCCTGTCTCCTTCTGCTTTAATCCTCTCTCTGCCCAGCCATATCATTCTTGTCTTCACCTCCTTAGTGCTAGGATTGAAGGTGTGGGATCCCAAGTGCTGGGATCACTTTTGTGTGAGCTCTGTTTCTCTTTTAGACTGATTCAGTCTTGTGTAACCCAGAGT